CGAAAAAAGGTCACTTCCCAATCAAGTCATTCAAACTACCAGAATTTTCAATTCGACTCAAAGTGACTGATTTCAAGCTCAATGGCTATTTATGACTTGTCATTGTTAAAATGATTGGTGTTTTTATTTGTGTTTTAACTGTTTCCTTCTCCTTGAGTGTTTGAAGGTGTAGGTTTAAGCAATGTTTTTGGACCCGGCCCGGTGGCTGGCCCGTTTTGACCACCGGGTCCGAGTCAACAGGTTGAACCGGTTCACTCGACCGGTTCAACCGGTCAACTAAAGTCAACTAAAAAACTTTTTTTTTTGAGCATTTTAAATTTTTTATTGAATTTTGCTTTTATACCTTACCTTCACGGTTTCACCCGAAAACGATACAGATCGTTTTGAGCAGAACAGACGAGGGAGATGAAGATGATCGGCGAAAGAGAAGAAGTGCAGCGACGGAGGAGAGGATCGGCGGACGCTCGGCGGAAAAGATGATCGGCGAACGATTGGCGGTAGAGAAGATCGACGAACGATTGGCGGTAGAGAAGATCGGCGAACGATCGCGGAAGAGAGGATCGGTGGACCATCGGCGGACAAGAAGATCGACGGACGAGAAGATCGGTGGAAGAGACGATCGGCGGACGGTCGGCGGATGATCAGCGGACGATCGGCGGACAATCGACGAACGAGAAGATGATGAAAATTTCAGCCCGGCCGGTTGCAACGAGTCGCACTAGTTTAACGGGCGGGACGGGTCTGACGGGTTTCAACGGGTTTCAACGGGCCATTTGCTTAAACGGGTTGAAGTATTCAACCGGCCCGTTTTCAGGTCCGGGTCCGTTCAACCGGTTCAACCGGCCGGGCCGGGCCGGGTCCAAAAACATTGGGTTTAAGAATGCTAACCCTTTTTTTTTTTTTTTTTGAAAAGCAAAAGAATTTTATGATATTATTATTTGAGTACAAATGGTACTCTAACTCATAAACATCAGCATATGAATCAACAAGTAGCAAAAGGGTCCAAAAAACAAGGAGCCTAGGAATATCCCAAAACAAGGTTATAAGCTCTATTTCCTATTAGTTATGCATCTCACTGGGTGAGAAATCCATTCTATCCATGAAAAGTTCTCAAGGTTCAATAGAATTCTAACCCAGTGAAATGATCGAATCTATATCAATTGAAGCAGCTTATCATCGTTAGGCTTTTTGTGTTGGATAGTTGTTTCATTTCTGCTCAACCATATTGTCCACACTATGGCAAACCATACTATATTCCAGCTTTTTCTCAAAATTTTTGGGCCTTTGTACCAGCTATGTTCATGGAAGACATCCATGCAAGTATTCCCAAAAGCATAATGTATCCCCCACCAGTTGAGACATCTTGTCCATAGTTTGAAGGAGGTGTTGCAGGATAGAAACAGATGATTAGTGTGTTCAGGGAATGAGTCACATCATACATAGTTAATATTTTGATTTCCATCTAAAACCCCACGCTTTGCCAAATTAAAATTAGTAGGAATTCTATCAAGAAGCAATTGCCAAGAGAATGCACTCACTTTTGATGGGACTTGTGCACCCCACAGCTTTTTGTGTTCCATCAGTCTAGTATTCTTTTCCTGTGAGCTGTTCATAGGCTGATCTTGTAGTATATTTTCCTTTCATGTCAATCCTCCAACTCCAAGTGTCCTTAGCATCTTGCATCAGCTTTATGTGTTTTATGGCCTCGAGCATTTGCTGCTTTTTGTCATCTTCCCATGCTCGCAGTGGTATTCTCCACTGAAAATTCCAAGACCAGCATCTGTTTGTCCATAGACCCATATCTCGAATATTGCAATTTTTATCTGTAGCCAACAAAAACAATCTAGGAAAAGCATTAGCAAGTGAATCCCCACCCACCCACCCATGTGTCATTCCAGAACTTAACATTCCTCATGTCACCCAAGTTTAGTTTAAAGTTTGGAGTTAACCACTCTTCCATACTACCTAAACCTGCATTTAACTTGTGAATATCCTTCCACCATGATGAACCTATGTCCTCACCTTCCTCAGCCATGACACCTAATTCCCTGTCTCACCTCCATATTTTTCTTTTAATACCCTGGCCCACAAACCCTTCTCACCCCTTATCAATCTTGCCCACCATTTACCAAGTAAGGCCATATTAAAACATCTCAAATTTATTACCCCTAATCCTCCCTCTTTTTTACTGCAACATACCCTATCCCAAGAAACCCATACAATCTTTCTACCATCCTCTACACCTCCCCACAAGAAATTTCTTCTAATTTCATCAATTTCACGGATTGCCTTTTTAGGGAGCAGATAGACCGACATCAGGGACACTGGAAGACTTGATAGCATAGAGTTGACGAAGGTGCTCCTTTCGCCAAGAGAAAAGAACCATCATTTCCATACTAAGAGCTTTCTTCTAAATGTCTCAACCAGGGGTTTCCATGTGTCTATTCTCCTTGAGTTTGCACCCAATGGCATTCCTAAGTATTTGCAAGGGAGGAAATCCATTTTACAATTCAGCATCCACACCATTTTATTGATCCATTCTTCATCAGTATTGACTCCGATTAAAGAGCTCTTTTTGTAATTTACTTTCAGGCTAGATACTAATTCAAATGCCCTCATGATGCATTTAACTATCCATATGTTCTTTCCAGTTGCCTCACCCATAAATATCGTATCATCTACGAACTATAGGTGAGTAATTTGTAACTCCCCTTCTTCAATTTTTACTCCCCGCAGAAATCCTTTTGATACAGCTTTTGTAGTTAATCCATTTAAAGCCTCAGCCACAATTAAGAATATAAATGGGGATAGTGGGTCACCTTGTCGGAGTCCTCTAGACATTGAGAACTCTTTGGTAGCACTTCCGTTTGCAAGGGAGTTGACCATAAGGAAGAAAATGGTTGTTGGAAAATCCTCTTTTCTTGTTTTACAACAAAGCAAGTAGCACCCTTGCATCTAGATTTCATACGTGCAGCAGCACTGCTTGAGGATTTTTGAGGAAAAAAATATGATTATACATAAGAGAGTGCTATAGTGCAAGGCAAACTGTATTATTTTTAATCATTGATAGATAAGTGAGTCCTTAATATTATGGGGTTTTACCTCTCTATTAGTAATTATAAAACGTGTAGTCAATATATGATAAATTGTACTTTATTTTTATGTATATATAGTCAACTCTAAAGATGAAGCAGCAATTTGCAAGGATGAGGAAACGAAGTCAAATGTTTATTTTTCTCAAATAGCATGTTTGCTTCCCCCTTTTTTTAATTTTTTTCATCCCTTGATAATGAAAAAACATAAGATGCGAGGCTCTATATTAAATTATTGCATTTGGGTTTTCCAGGTGTACAAGATATGAGGGCATTTTGTCTTCCACTTTCTAAGGAGCAAGATAAGCCAAAAGCTTATTATTGTTACAAGATTTTATATGATGTTTTACTGCAATGCAAGCTTAATCAAGTTGCACTTTTTTATTATCAAACTTTTTTCAAGTCATGCTTCTATCTTCATTTTGTTTTATTCTCAATAGTCTGCTTTTGATGGTTCTTACTAGGTTGTAGGATCTGCTGTGCTTTTTGCATACTCTTTTGAGCCTTTTTGAACTTCGGATCTATCAATTATAGGCTAGGAAAATGTACAAATGTTAGGTTGTAAAAGAGAAAAAAAAACACCAAGAGAGAGAAAAAGGGATTCAAGCTACAGACAGCATGCAGGATCGGGACGAGTAGCACTGGGCAGAGAGTATATAAGATCACGAGGGAGAAGCCAACAAAGGAGGACAATGAACGTGGGGTATAAGAGCTTTAGCAGAAGCCAGAAGTCAACCACGATTGGGGATACAATAAAGGACTGTACAAACAGGCTACATCCTTTTTCTTCACAAATATTCCAGAAGATTGGAGCTAAAAGGAGATGTGGACAACTTTTGGAAAATATGGCAGGGTGCTATCAATCTCTAGTCCACAAAGGAAAACTCAATCTAGAATGAGGTTCGGTTTTGTCAGGTCTCTACAAGTTAAAAAATGTAAGGGATTTGGAAGAAAAACTGGACCAAATCTGGGTTGAGGGGTAGAAAATTTGGGTTAACATCGCCAAATACCCAGAGGAGAAGACTGTAACCAAGAAGATAAGAATAAACTCAGCCCTGTTTGTTGTAGTCGAAGGGAAATCTTATGCTGATGCTGTTAAAGGCCAGGAGGGAATTAAATATAGTAAAACAGGGACTCAACTAAAGAAGACAAGACTAGAGATGGAGCCCAAAAAAATAGAAGCATTCTAAAAAATAACAAAACGGAGTAGAGACAGACATGGAAAGTGAAACACAAAGGGTTGAATGGTGAGGATTGGAGTATAATGTGAAGGAAGAAGATTATGAGTGGCTACACGGCTGCTATGTTGGTACTGCCCATTTAGTTGAGATGGTACCCAACCTCCAAGAGAAGTTTTATATGGAGGGGTATTTCTCATGCCGTCTAAGGGCAATGGGGGGCAAGATGGCCCTCATGGATTGCGAGGACAAAGAAGAACTAACGGATTTAGTGCAGAGAGCTGCAGATTGGTTGGGACAATGGTTCTCTGAAGTTAAGCCTTGGTCACCTCTTATGGTGGCAAAGGAACGGTTCGTTTGGATTAGATGTCAAGGAACCCCTCTGCAAGCTTTGGTCTTGCTTTTTTTTTTTTTTTTGAACAGAAAAAAATTATTTATTTATTAGTAAACGGAGTACAAGGGGTACCCCAACCCATCAACTTACAATGTGAAAGACATACAATTTCCAACCCTTCCGTATGGTGTCGACCCCTGAAATATGTGCCAACGCCACGTCCGTGTCGGAAATTTCTGTGCATGCAATACAGTGTCGACACCAGATCCAGTGTGTCGGCACTGTACCCGTGTCGAACTTTCTACCTTCTGATGCAAAAACTTTATCAATCACTATACTGATCATGAAACCCATTCCAGCTATCGCCCCACTATCACGTACCTTCCCTGAGCATGCCTTGACTACCACTTAGAATCCCAAAGACCATTATTGCTTCAGGCACATAATCTGCAGTCAAAAATTGCTCAAAGAAGCCTTCTTGATCCAATAGTGATTTTTCAACCAGGCAGTAATATAATTAACCAATCAAATTACATGATCTTGACCTCCTTCACCTCCTTCACTCATAGCTCCACCTCCATTTCAGATGGCTTTCTCTTGAGATGCCTTCTACTGTTGCGATTAATACTCAAACAGTTTGCAGGATTTTGGATCCAATCAGCTATGGAGAAAAAGCAGTCTCTCCTTTTGCCCTTAATCCAGCTAAAGGCCCTGATTTGGACCAGTTCAAATAACCTTCCACTATCCACCTCCTTCCCCCTAAACAATTTTTCATTCCTAGCCAACCAAATTGTCCATATCACTACAAACCATATACATTCCCATCCCTGCTTCACCCCCACTGTTTCCAGCATACTGGAATGTTGTTCAAAAAATCTCTAGCAATCTCTATCAGTTACTGTTTTAATTCCCCACCATTTGTAGCAAGCTGACCAAAGATCACGCGCCACTTTGCACTGAACAAAAAGGTGGCTGGAATTCTCCTCCCTTGCACCACATAATTCACATCTGCACTCGCCTGGGGCTTGAATCACGCCTCTCTTCATCAGATTATCCTTGGTTGGAATTTTACCTTGCAGCAATTGCCAAGAGAATGCTGAGATTTTACTCAGTATAAGTGGATTCCATACTTTTTGTAGAGCCAACCCTTGCTGGCTGTTTCTGTGTTCTGCTGCAAGTATCTGGTATGCTGATTTGGTTGTATAACTACCATCTTTACTGTGAGTCCATATCCTTTGATCTGGTCTCCCTCTTGCAATTGTTTTCTCGTTAATCTCTTTTAGGAGCTCTAGTTCCTGATGTTCTTCCCAGCTAAATAGGGACCTTCTCCAATGTAGACTCCACTTCCAAATGTCATTGTGCCAACCTCCCATTTGTGAGATCTTATAGTCCTTTCCTGTAGATAACAAGTAAAGTCTAGGATATTTGTTAGCTAAACACCCATCCCCACTCCACTTGTCCCACCAGAAACTAATGTCTACCCCTTCCCCTAGTTTTAATTCCAGCCCATCCACTAACCATCCTTTCTTCTCTTTATCAATATCATTCAATCTACTTAAATCCCTCCACCAAGATGAGCCGAAATTCATGTTCTCCCTCAACCAATTGAAGCTTGGTTCCCCTACCCGACCATACTTCTCCGCAATAACCTTTTTCCAGAGCCCTTTATCTGCCATGACTATCCTCCCCCACCATTTTCCTAATAGGGCTATATTAAATTTTCTCAAATCCTTAACCCCCAAACCACCCTGTTTTCTACCTTTGCAGACTTGTTCCCACTTCACCAAATTTATTTTCTTTTCTCCTGCAGCCCCTCCCCATAAAAAACCTCTACGAATTTTATCAAGTGAAAGAATCGTACCTTTTGGGATGAGATACACCGACATCCAGAACACAGGAAGACTGGATAGCACTGAATTAATAAGGGTAATCCGTCCACCAAAAGATAAGTACCGACCCTTCCATGTAGATAGCTTTTTAGAAAATAATTCCACTAGCGGTTTCCAAAAGGCCTTCCTTCTACTGCTTCCTCCAATGGGGATGCCCAGATATTTAAATGGAAAAACCCCAACTTTGCAGCAAAGCACCCATGACATTTTGTTGAGCCAGCCCTCTTGAACATGAATGCCAATCAAATGACTTTTGTTGAAGTTTATCTTTAGACCCGAGACTAGTTCGAAAGCTCTCAAGACGCCCTTCATTGCCCACACATTTTCCTCTTTAGCTTTAGCAAAGAGAATTGTGTCGTCCGCGTATTGTAGGTGAGAAACTTTAAAACCTCTGCTCCCCACCTCTGCTCCATCCAATAACCCTTTCTGAGATGCAGCTGAAACCAGTCCATTAAGACCTTCTGCAATTATTAAAAATAGGAAGGGTGATAAGGGGTCCCCTTGCCTGAGTCCTCTCGTCACAGTAAACTGCCTTGTTGGGCTGCCATTAACCAGAATTGATACAAGGTTTGTTCTCAGACATTCCATGATCCAGTTCCTCCATATTACACAAAATCCCATCCGTTGCATCATATAGTCGAGGAATTCCCAGCTGACCTTATCAAACGCCTTTTCAAAGTCGATCTTGAACAAGAATGTCTCCTTCCTCTTCTTCTTTACATCATCAATCACCTCATTTGCTACCACTACCCCATCCATTAGTTGCCTTCCTCTAATAAATGCCATCTGCTGTTCACCGACAATCCCATCAAGGACCACCTTTAACCTGTTAGCAAGAAGCTTTGCAAGGATTTTATACATTACACCAATGAGGGAGATGGGTCTATATTCCTCTATCTTCTGTGGGTTATCCACTTTCGGCACAAGGACAATGAAAGATGTGTTAAGTCCTCTAACCAGCTTACCATTCTTATGGAATTCATGCAAGAATCTGATTACATCTACCCTTATTAGCTCCCACACATTCTTGACAAAGCCGAAATTGAATCCATCTGGTCCAGGCGCCTTTGAACTATCACAGTCCCGCACCGCTGCATCTATCTCTTCCTCACTGAAAGCTCCAACCAGATGGTCATTTTCTAACTGTGAAATCTGCTTGAAGCTCACCCCTTCTAGCTTTGGTCTGTCCCACTGTTCTTCTTTGAATATGTCTTCAAAAAAGGAAGCAATCTCCTCCTTCATTCTGCTGGCACACATAATTTGTGTTCCTTTGATTTCAATAGAAGTCATTTCATTTCTTCTCCATCTCCCCTTGATACACTTGTGAAAGAAACTTGTGTTGGCGTCGCCGAGGTTCAACCATGCCTTTCTAGATTTCTGCTGCTACGTACTTTCCTTGCTCTTCATGCTTTCCCATAGAAGTAGGAAATCCTCTCTTCTTCTTATGATTTCTTCCTCCGACAGCTGAACCTCTTCCCCCTTCTTATCAATTTGTGCTATCTCTGTAGTAGCCTTGTTTATTTTGGCATCAATAACTGGGAGAAGTGTTTTGCTCCACCTTTTCAAAGCTTCCTTTGTCAATTTCAGCTTTTCCTTAAGTTGAAACCCTGCCCATCCTTGAATGTTTGCCGACCCCCACACCTCTTTAATCAACTCCATGCAACCTTCTTGTTGAAACCATGCATTGAAAAACTTAAATGGCTTAGGCCCCCAGTCAATATGCTTATGTTTGAGCAGGATTGGACAATGATCCGACACTGTTCTACTAAGGCCCCACTGTCTGGCTTCACTCCACTTTGTCAACCACCCTTCCGATAGTAGAAATCTGTCTATTCTGCTCATACTGTTCCCATTAGACTGGTACCAGGTGAATTTTCTACCCACAAGAGGAATATCCACCAACTCTGTTTCTTGTATAAAGTTATTAAACTCTCTCATCTCAATTGTAACTCCTCTACTACCCTTTTTCTCCTCTTCATTCCTAACTGCATTAAAATCCCCTGCAATACACCAGTAGCCTTGTCTATCTAATACCAAAATTTTCAGCTCTGCCCATAAAACTCTCTTCCCTGATAACTGGCACGGGGAGTACACATTTAAAATGAAAACAACAACCCCCTCAGGACCCCATACCCCTTCTATTCCTATAAAATTCTCACCCTCTATTACTCTAGACATTGTGAGAGATTTAGAATTCCAAACACAGAGTA